AAAGCAAACAATATTTTTGTTTATTATAATCACCAATATTCTGTGCATTATATTACTAAAGAATGCTCCAATAATGCTATTTCTAGGGATATATCTAAAGGTTTATTATTATGTTTTTAAATTTACGTGTGTATATGTGTGGGCCTGAATGTATATACATGTAACTAACATTTGTGTACAGGTGACTGACAAAGCCAGAAGAGGGTATAGAATCATCTGGAACTGGAGTTCTAAGCTGTTGTGAGTGGCCTGATAAGAGTGGTGGGAGAACTGAAGCCAGTCCTCTGCAGGAGCAGCAAATGCTCTTAAGCCCTGAGCCATTTCTCTAGCCCATTGGGTCCACGTCTAAAGAAAGCAGAAATCAGTGTGCTAAAATCTACTATACTCCCATGTTCATTGCAGCACTAGTCACAATAGTGAAGATATGAAAGCAAACACAGTGTCTTTTAAAAAGTGGATGAAGACAGTGTCCTAGGGCTGGGGGGTATAAGGTCAGTGGTAGAGTATTTGCCTAGTATACAAGCCATCCTGGGTTCTTTCCCAGTACCAAAACAGAAAGAGGAGGGGAAATGTTGCATATATACACAATAGAAATACCATTTAGCCCTCAAAGGGCCATGGGGGTAGGGTGACACACAGTAAGACTTGTCCTTTGTGACAACATGGGTAAGTCAAAACATTATGCTAATTGAACTAACCTTGGTGCTAAACAAATAATGTGACCTCATTGATGTGTGCAGTCTAAGGAAGATGATTTCACAGAGCAGGATGATACGTTATCAGGACCGATGGGGAAGTGGACAGGGAAAGGGGATGCTGACCCAAATACATGGAGTTTTTGGTGTCTTTGAGACAGGGTTTCATTATGCCACCCACACTTGCCTCAAACTCACTATGTAGCCTAGGTTGGCCTTAAATTTGCAGCACTCCTCCTGCTTCAACTTCCCAATGTCTGTAATTATACAGACACTAGTTCTTTACTGTGTGTTCAGGTTTGCCTTGTGATCTAGTTCATGGCCATATGCTGTGGGACAGTGGTCTGTACATTTGTATTTTTAAATAAACGCTGATTGGCCAGTAGCCAGGCAGGAAATATAGGTGGAGTGACCAGGCAGGAAGTAGAGGCAGGGCAAGGAGAACAAAAAAATTCTGGGAAGAGGAAAAGTCAGTCTGTAGTTGTCACCCAGACACAGAGGAAGCCAGACACAGAGCAAGCAAGATGTGACAACCTTGCTGAAAAAGGTACCAAGCCACATGGCTAACACAGAAAAGAATTATGGGTTAAGATGTAAGAATTAATTAATAAGAAGCCTGAGCTACTAGGCCAATCAGTTTATGATTAATGTAGACCTCTGTGTGTTTATTTGGGACTGAATGACTGGTAGGACCTGGTGGGACAGAAACCCCCAGTCAACAAATGGTGTCCAACGTGTGGACAACTGCATCCACAGAAAGCCTGCTAGAGCTTGGGAAGTAATTCTAGACAGAAAGGAATACAGTTAAGCACGGCTTATTGATAGGAGCATTTTCTCAGATGGGCTGTTTGCTAAAAGCAAACATGTCTCATTTAAGAGAGGCTTCCTGACTCAGCTTTAGCTGCAAAAACTTTGCAGCCCTTTTAAGAGGCTCTGCCACAAAACATTTAAATGGTTTTTATGAATAGCTAACTGCATACTTTTTGGTGGTGACAGGGACCTTGAAGCACCATACAATTGTGGCAATAAACATGGCTCTGGCCAGTACCTCTGCCATGAGGCTAAACTCTCAGAAAAAAGCTAAGGAATGGGTTGAATCTAGCCATCAAAGTTACGGCTTTAATCCTAGCCATATCGCTTAGCAAATTGAAGACTAATGTGATCAGAAAAACAGAGATATACAAGTAAATATAGATTCAAAGACAGAGAAGAAACCTCTAAACAGTTTACTGTGTGTTTAAAAATACGCGTAGGCTTGGAAGAAAAAAAGAATAGTCCTTAAAATAAAAAAGGAAAAAAAAGAGAGTAGTTGGGTGTGATGACACACACCTTTAATCACAACACTTGGGAGGCAGAGGCAAGAGGATCTCTGTGCGTTCAAGGACAACCTGGCCTACAGAGTAAATTCCAGGACAGCCAAAGATACACAGAAAAACCCTGTCTCAAAAATCCAAAAACTAAAACTAAAAAATAAAAGAAATAGAGGTTCAAATAAAGGGACGTAAAGATGAAAAATATACAGAGAGTCTGGATACTGTATGTTATTGTGCTGTTATAAAATTGTTTGATGGCTGAGGAAAGAGCAACAGCTGCTAAAAGACATTTGATTATAAATGCTGCTGGATTAATCCAATATATATATTGAAAATGCTTTGACTTTAAAATTTAAGTCAAAAGATATCTTACTTTGGAGAAAGGGTTTTGTTTTTGTTCCCACAGGAAATGAGGGACTGTGGATTCATTCTGTGTTAAGAAAAATCAGGTTTGACCAAGGAAGACCCCCCCTGAGAAATCTCTGATAGGAGCAGATGGCCCAGATGTCTGAGTTCTACATCCAGAACAGTTCAAAGACTGCTGACTGAGATGATCAAGCCTCACTCACAGGATACTCCAGTCAGGACTTGATCATAATTCTAAATTTTCTTTAGGTGCTCAAGATTATCAGTGCCTCCAATCAACAGGAAGTATCCTGGAAAACTATGCCCACATTCCCAAAAAATGGACTATGGATGTTTGCCTTTGTTTAGAATGTTGGCTACAAGTTGTTATGGATAATGATCAGTAGAAAAGCTAAACAACGGAGATCTGATTCAGAGTTCTTATTTTAAAAAGGGTGGGGGGGGGGAAGTGCTGTGGGGCAACAGTCTGTACCCTGTCAACTATGTTATAATAAAATGCTGATTGTCCAGAAGCCAGGCAGGAAGTATAGGTGGAATGACCAGGCAGGAAGTAGAGGCAGGGCAAGGAGAACAAGAGAATTCTGGAAAGAGGAAAAGTCAGTCTGTAGTTGTCACCCAGACAGAGAGGAAGCCAGACACAGAGCAAGCAAGATGTGACTGCCTTGCTGAAAAAGGTACCAAGCCACGTGACTAAAACAGACAAGAATTATGGATTAAGATGTAAGAATTAATAAGAAGCCTGAGCTACTAGGCCAATCAGTTTATGATTAATATAGACCTCTGTGTATTTATTTAGGACTGAACAACTGGTGCAACCTGGTGGGACAGAAACATCAGTCAACAGCCGTGTGTGTGAGCGCGCGCGTGCACAGCTGGGAATTGGACCTAGGCTTCAAGCACACTAGGTAAACACTCCACAACTGAGCTATGAATACATTTCCAGCATGGTTTTGTTTCTGTAAGTATGCCACATGTACTTGGAAATAGGATCACAGTAAAGTCTGAAAAAATTTTCTCAAAGTGACCATCACACACAGATCAGCTATATAATGAAATTAGAAATTAAAACAGTAATTATTGAATAAGAATCCACACATCTGGCAGTGAACTATATTTATAACAAATGAGTGAAAGAGTCACAATCTACATTATAAATTAAATTACAAATTAATTTAAATATAAATTAAATTAAAATATAAACACAATACCATCCAACAAAAATGTCCTATAATAGCTTCATTGTAAACATTCTTTTCCTTCAAGTGTCACAGTTTTTCTGTACATGTTTGTTGTCATTTTTGCAGTGCTGGGGATGGGACCTGGGCTACACCACTCCTCTATATCTTCAACTTTAACACATTTGCAAATTTCTTTGTGACTGACCTGTTAACCTTAGGTCCAGGGGAGTGACCTGTTTACTTCACCTATTTTATTGTGTCACTTTTTCCCTTCAAGTTGCAAATTCAACTCACCTTCAACTCCTCTCTCTCTCTCTCTCTCTCTCTCTCTCTCTCTCTCTCTCTCTCTCTCTCTCTCCTTCTTTTTTTGAGACAGGGTTTCTCTGTGTAGTCTTGGTTATACTGGAACTCTCTCTTTAGTCCAAGCTGGCCTCAACTCAGGGATCTGCTTGTCTCTGCCTTCTGAGTGCTGGGATTAAAGGCGTGTATCACCATGCCCAGCTCATCTTTAATTTCCAATCAAAGGAGGCCTTGTTGCAGAGGTGCCCCCCCCACCCCAGGGGAAGATTATCTGAATGTGGAAGGGACCTCTCTATACCCATAATTCTGACTCTTTTCAGGTAACTCTTGGGGCCTCGTGATCAAGAATGGCAAGCCAGCCCTTCTGAAGCAGCTAGAGTTTTACTAGTCTTCCCAAGCACAAATGAAAGCATTTTATGGCCCCTAGCCTTCTATAGAGAATAAAACTTCAGGGTCAGCTCCTGTTCATGGCACTGCCTCTTTGGCACTCTGTTGGAAGCAGTATATCACTGGGGGTGGCCTTGGACGGCTTAGACTTGTGCCCTCTGAACTTCCTTGCTCTGCTTTTGCTCTTGGCTTGAAAATAGAAGCCCTTAGCTTCTTGCTCCAGTCATCATGCCTCTACCCTGCCATCTCGGACTCATCCCTCTGGAACATAAGCCTCCCAAAGCTTCCCTTCCGTAAGTGGACTTGGTTGTGGTAGTCCATCATAGCAATGGACAAGTAGCAGGTGGCATACCTCTTAACTTAGAACTCTCCCTCACAGATCATCACCAACTTGCAGAAAACATACAACCACCATGGAATTGTTTTTTGTAAGAAGAACTACTTTCATAGAATTTAAAAGGAAATTGTAGAGAAGTTGCATTCAGAAAAGATGTGTTTAGAATACAATTCATTTTTTTAAAATGACAAAACAAGCAAGATAGTAGAGCCAGTTCAAAGGATACAGAGACTGAAATTACATGCACACTCATGTATTCAATGGAGATACTAGGATAAGGCTACATAGGTAATATTGAGGTATTAGTTAAGAGAATAAGACAAATTTTGGGAGCTGTCTACACCAGTAGATGGAAATCATTTGCACTCATGTCAATTGACAGAGAAAGTTTCCAGTGCACCTGGTTTATATAAAAAATACTCACATTCTCCAAAGGATAGGAGATGACACTGCCCGCAGGGAGAGCCAGTTTGTCCACTCCCTTCACCATCACCATAATGGTAGCCCGTGGCCGGTGGAATAGGTTACCCACTGCAAGCCCTGGCCAAGACAGGTCCTAAGTGTTGAAAAGCACAAAATTTTGCTTAATTCTCAAGTATGGAAACTGTCTCCGCAGTATCATCTAAAACTAGACAAGGGGTTCTGGGACGACACTGGCTGGAACATCCAAACAACAGCTACCATCTCCTAAGGGCAGCATGGATGCCTGTCTTCTTCACTTTCTTAAAATTACACTTATCAGAACGCTCGCTCCCAACTTTTATGTAAAAACAAAAGCAAGCGAATAGAGAAAACCCATGTGTTCTGCATTTTCCAGACTCTGAACTGTTGTTCTCTTCCTGCATCATGTTTTCCGTTATGCACAGCATCACTCTTACCTTCTGCAGTGACAGCAAGAACTGTCGAAATGCTCTCTACTAAGCACTTTATATATAAAATCCCTCTTACCAATAACTATTTATAAAGCTTATTTTAACAGCCATTTGTGGTGAAATTTAAGCTTGTGGAGTACTAGGTACAAATTTCACCCCTCAGTGTAAAGGACCAATCCTGCTCACTTTGGTTGTCCAAATGAACTGGAGTGCATGGGCTATACCCTTAGCCCAACTGCCAAGCAGAGCTGCTGGTTTTGAGAGTGCTTGGAGTCTAGAAGTGACTGATGATATCAGCAGCCAATTTAAAGTGGCAAGAGAGAGTATAATGACAAGACAGAGCAAGTGGCATCTCCTCCTCCTAAGCTCTGAGCTTTAGGCCTCTTGGAGTGAATGGATCTAGGCCCCTCTACTACAGTTCTATCGCTAGCCAGGGACTACCACAGGTCAGTGACATTCTAGGAAAACACAGCTACCAGCTGCATCATTCTATTCTCGGATAAGAAATGTAGACAGGTTAGCATTTGTAGCAAATCTATTTCCTACACTAAAAAAAATGACACAGCCTATTAATAACAGCACACCTGTAATATGTAAACTACTACATGTCAGCTAGAAATAAAAATATACTTAACAGGAAATAGAAAAAGACAATATCTCCTGAGTAAATTGGGAGCATGGGGACCTTGGGAGAGGGTTGAAGGGGAAGGGAGAGGCAGGGAGGGGAGCAGAGAAAAATGTAGAGCTCAATAAAAATTAATAAAAAAGATTTGAAGAATACCTACTAATGGAAATAAATCTCTATATATCTAGAAAACCAAAGAAAATATATATGCTTAACATACTGGAGAGATACATCCATACACACAAAAGTTCTCACAATGATGAATACATGTTCTCATAATGATGAATGAAGACTTGGTTTTAGAAGCACTTACCTAAGATTACCCCAAATACTAATGAGCCTTTAAAATTTTGTAATCTCTGGCAAATGTACCTATGTGTTTGTTGCTATGACAATCGGAATAAATCAATAAAAAGGTTTTAGAAGCAATTACAACCATTTTTTTAGTACACATACTTCTTTCACAGAGAAGCCCATGGACAATGCAGCCACATCTGGGATTCGATCTCCTGGTATGGGCCAATTTCCATTTCGAAAAACAACAGACCCTGGCGATCTTAATATGCTAAATTCATTCCCTAAAGCACCTGAGGAGAGAACAGATTGGTAAATGAATTATCATCGTTTATATATATATATATATATATATATATATATATATATATATATATATATATACATCATTGTATCCATCTTGAAGTTTATTAAACAATACATTTACTAAACAATACATTTTCCCATTCCTCACTGGCTGAACATGCTAAATTATGTTTGGACAAAGTACTGAATTTTAAACATGGAAAAATGTGGGGCGGAATGCTAGGGATGGAATGCCAAGTCTTTATGGCACAGGTACACATGCCATGGCAATTGTGAAACCATTAGTCCCAGATGGAGCTATACTCTGAGTACCATCAACAATTTCCCCCCCAAAGTATCACTCTAAGAATTTAAGTATTAAATATTCTGTTGGAAGAGGGTACATGTGCAAGAGGAATTCCTTTTTAAAATTTGTTGTTGTTGTTGTTTTTTCGAGACAGGGTTTCATTGTAGCTTTGGTGCCTGTCCTGGAACTCGCTCAGGTTGGCCTTGAACTCACAGAGATCCACCCTCCTCTGCCTTCCAAGTGCTGGGATTAAAGGTGTGTGCCACCATTGCCTGGCTCCTTTTTAAAATTTTAAATTAGCAAATATTAACTCTGGATAAGGGCTTTCATTATGGTATTTTTATAGATAAATAATGAATTTTGATCCTATTTACCCATTATCCTCTCATCTCCCCCATTCCCACTGACCCCCCCTTCCTTCTTCGTAACTAGTCTCCTTTCTATTTTCACGTCTTTTGGGGGAAGTGGCCCGTCAATGAATTTAATAAGGTCTGCAGACAGGAACCAGAGTGAAGGATCCTTTACAGGTGTATGAGCACCTTACCAATGACTACATCAAGAAAATCCCCCGCCCCTGCAACCATGAACTGCTTATAGCTCCTCAGGGATGGGTGGGGCCTCATGAGACTCCTTCCTCCAGCTACTGCTAACTGCCTATAAATCCTCAGGGAACAGTGAGGCTTATGAGCCCTCCACAGTAATGGCGCGAAGTTGATGGGCCCAATCTTGTGCAACTAATTACAGTTACTGTGGGTTCAAGACTGCCATGATCATGTCATGCCTGTAGACAGTGTTCTACAACAGCCTTCTGCTGGCTCTTACATTATTTTTATGTATTTGTTTATTACACATGTATGAGTATTTGCCTGAATGCATGTTTGTATTTGGTGCCCTCAGACCAATAAAGGGCATCAGATTCCCTAGAACTGGAGTTTCAGGTGATTGTGAGGCACCATGTAGGTACTGGCAACTGAACCCAGGTCTTCTGCAAGAATAGTAAGTGCTCTTAACCGCTGAGCTTCTCTCTAGCCTCGGGCACTTACCTGCTTTCTGCCCTCTCTTTCAAAATATTAATGAGCCTTGAAGAAGTGAGAGAAGGTTCTACTAATGATGTTGATAGCCTCCTACAGATGGCCCTTAAGAAGGGAACGTGGCAGTTTAGCAAGAACAGAAATCAGCGGCAGTTCTCTGGTATTGAAAAAGCAAAAATGCCAAAGCCCTGGCACTAAAAGGGAAGGGAAGCTGGAATCTTTTAATTATTCTGCCATCAGACTTCTCTATAATATGCAAATGTATGACATTCCTGTTTCACTATAATACTCTGGCAGGCTAACACATCCTTATAGGTTAGTATATCTTAAGATATCACAGGCATAAGGATGTCAATGAAGATTGTCAAGGATGGGGGGTGGTGCACGTGTTACCAGCTGGGACATAAAACACCTCAGTCATCAGAAAACTAAGTCCAGGAATAGTGCTTTCAGTTGCCACATCAGGAAGAGAGCAAAGGTACCCTGTAGTCACTAATGACTGAGAGTGTTTGGCACCAACAGCTAAGTCAAGGAGGAGAAGAAAGGAGCTGCCTTAAAGGCCTCCCCTAAGGATGGACTATTTGCTTCTTCACCAGTGTTTGAGTGATCTGTTTTGACTTCCTGGTGCTGGGGATGGACTCCAAGGCTTGAAGCACCCCTCGGCTGAGCCACACCCCCAGAACGACAAGTCGTCAATGGAAACTTCTGGGTTCCTGGGAAAACATTAGTTCCAAATCCAAAAGCAACCTTGGCGAGGCCTACAGGGAAGAGAGGCTTTGCAAAGGCCTGGGGGTTACTCCCTGACCTCAAGAGCCACCTTCAGAAGTGGGAGTGGGGCGAGAGCAGCCAGTGTTTTGGCTTTGCAGTGCTGACAGTAAATAAAAGGCCTCAGGAGGGTGCGGGTGCACTAGGACAAGTAGGAGTTTCAATTCAGCCCAGGGCCAGAGCAGAAAGCAAATGAAAGAACTTATCAGAATGCAAAGGTGTCTGGAACCAACAGACGTCCAGGTCTGTTACCTTCAGGGCAAATTCAAAACAGAACACCTCAGGCACCTTGACAGTCAGCCTTTCTCTGGAAAGGCTGGGAAACAGGTAAGAAGCCCAGACTTTCTAAGCTTGCACACTTTCCAGGAATCAAGCCTTGCAGATAGCTTTGTTCTGAGACGTGGTCCCACGCCTTCCACTCCCACGAGCTGGCGTGAAGTAACTGCCTCACCTTTGAAGTGAGATTCAACCGGAGCAGCACAGCACTCTACTGGCCCACTGCTCAGAAAGGTGATCTTGTCTAAACTTGCACAAGCTGCAGGTACCACACCTCAAGGATGCCGGGCAGAAGCTGTCCTTCTCAATGCTACTAGTGATGGGGGCATGCCCATCAGTTAGGCCAGCTCCATTGTCCTAGTGTTCTAGCTCTTTGGAAAACGTTCCCTTGTGCTGAACTGAAATAGGCTGCCTAACCTCCAACTTCCTAGGCTTCCATGCCGCTGGTCAATCTCCAGATAACCTGTCCCCAGGGAAAGTCTAGAGTCCAGGTCACCTGCTTCTTCTCACATCTCTTCACCTCTAGTCATGAGAGATAAAAGGACACTAAGCCTAACACAATCTTCTGTCCCGCTTTCTTCCAGACTTTCATTCATCCACTAAGAAGTTATTCCCTCACCGTCTATTAACCTAGCTTTTTGGTCAAGACACATCAACAGCTAAGTGACGACATGGAGAGGCATAACCAGAAGACCCTGCATTACCTAAGCTAACGGAAGGCAGGGATTTCAGTGCGTCTACGTTTCTAGGGCTGAGAAAAGCACCTGAAAGCCATTGCTCAGTAAATGCGCTGAGTTGATGAGCGAATGAAGTCACACCTGAAACTACCCATGCTCCCCCTCTCCTGAGCAGAAAGCAAGTCCTGGGTGCTGCCACTCTCAACTTAGAACCACCAAACCCTACTGGTGGCTTGCCCAAACCAAAGCATCTCGAAATCAAACATGCTTCCCTTCAGGGGGAGAACCTAGGGACCACACAGTCCACTCCTCTGCTTTTCTACTTTGTCTCACGCTGCCTGCTTTGGCCCCCAGTCTCTGGCCGCTCCACTGAAACACAATTCTCAGCCCTTAATTCCCTAACTTCCCCATGCATCTGACACTGGCAAGTCCCTCTTTGAAATCCCATCCTGAGATTGATAAAGACAAGGCCTCTGCCCTTCAAATTCCTTGACTGCTGCTGGGCTAGCTCTCCTACTCGTCCTTTACAGCTGCTGTGGCAGGCTTTGAGGATCCACTCTTTCAACAGAAGAATGGGAAGTGAAAATAGCCCATGCATCTACCTGTCTTTATGATACATATGCTACACATGTGTACAATAATTGGTTACAAAACACACATAAAGGGAATTTATAATGTTCTTCCCAATGTAATCAGGATAAAAACCCAAGTTTAAAACATAACCATTCCTAGTTTTTAAAAAAAGGACTTAACATGGCCATTCCTACTTAAAATAAAAGGATTTTTTAAAAAAGCATACATGGAAATTCTAGTACATCCCCCAGTATTCAACTGAATCATGCTTCACACTCCATTTGAAAGATCAGAGGACTCAATTCTGTGTCATGCTCCCTGACTTGAGCCCATATACCCTAAGGCTGCAAACACCCAAAACACTGCCAGCTCCCAGATTTTTATTCCCAGTCTAGATCTCCCCCAGTCTTAGGCCGAGGCACTCAGCATTCTATTGACATTTTCTTCCAGGTCTCACCGCAGGCGCGCTTAAATGCTACCATTGCTTTGAACCTAACTCACTAGCTCTCGCAGACTTCTGCAGTCTCTCCGAGCCAGCTGCTTAAACACTTCCTCCTTAAACCCTTCCACAGCGCCACAGCAATCAGCCACTGCTTTCAGCTGCTCTTCTTCAGAATTATTTCCTGAATCCCACCACCACCACCACGTCCGTTCCTCACCAGGTTTGCTCCAGCTGGCTGCCTAGTACCCTGTCAATCCACCCTAGGATCCAGCTTTCTCTTCATATTTTCAAAATACAGATCTGTTTATTCATCCTCTGCTTAAATGCCAGTGCTCACTGCCTAGGGCCTTGCAGGGAAATCCAAAATGTCCCCTGGACACCTCACTAGCCTGATTTCTGAGCTCTCACCAAAAGCTCTGCTCTTCAGTCTCCAGCGCTCATGCACACGCTGTTCCACCTAAATTATTTTCCCCACCTCAACCTTTCACACAGTTTTCTCAGGAGGTACCTCCCCTGGGAAAGTTCCTTAAGCCTCTCCACTTTGGGGTTGAGAGGTAGTGCCCCTTCCCTGGAGAACTCCACTGTCTTGTGCACTGAGCTTCTTTAAATGGTGACTGGAATCAGTCAATTTTAAAAAGGGGGGAGGTTGCTTCTATCCTCGAGGACATCAGTTACCAAAATCAACTCCCTCCTTTACATTTCTACAAATTCCATGTGTTAGCTCTTGGTCCTTCTTCTCCTGAACTTTCCAAATATGCCTCAGAACATGCTATTCAGAGCCCAAGTTCTCTAGTTCTCTCTAGTTCCCTAACACTGTTTTGAAGTAAACAGTGAAATCAGAGCTCTTAAAGATGTTTTCCACCAAATCACACTTAGTCATTGTGGAAAATAATACTGTGTACTCACCTGACAAGACCCAGCAATGCAGAAGCTCAGATTGTTATGTGAACTAGACCATTTTAGCAAGGACAGCATTCCCAAACCACGCGGAGAAACAATTATTTTATCTTAGACAAAAACCAAACCAAAACCCTAAACCTCACTGACTCAGAATGTCATGGAGCTGAACACAGTGGCACCCAGAAGACAGAGACAGGCAGCTCTTTGAATTTCAGGCCAGCCAGGACCTCAAAAGATACCAGGCATGAAATTAAAACATGGAATTTCAACAGATGCCTAGTTAAACCAGGGTGCGAATGGGAAAATTTTGTTTTTAACTTTGAAAACTCAATTAAAACAAAAGAATTTTCCTAAAGTATATATATTTGTGTGCATGTGTGCACTTGTAGAATCCAAGGTCAACCTCCACCATCTTGTCTCAGGAACTGTCCACCTTGTTTTTCAGATAGGGTCTCTCATTGGGACGTGAAGCTCATCCATTAGGCTCCAGTAGCCAGCAAGGAACTTCTAGTGATCTACCCGGTCTACCTCCCCAGCCCTGAGATTATAAGCATGCACCATGCTGGGGTTCACACTCATCCTGCATGCTTTTGTGACAAGCACTTACCAAGTACTTCAAAAAGCCCCAAAGTATCTTGATAAATAAATCAGAAAGGCCGTTCCAGAGCTAACAACAGAAATGAAAAAGACCCAAACACTTGGAGACCTGGAAATAATTGTAACTATTAAGACAGAACACTGGGCACCCCCAAGGGGGCGGGGGGTAAAGCTTTGGTTTTCAAACTCATCACTAGTCTTTTTCACTTCAACTGCCATTCCAGAAGCAGGACCTCTCAGCATCTCACACAGCATAGGCATAAGATATTCTTGCCACAAAACACCCATTCCTCCAAGATGTTCTTCGCTGGTTGTTTTCCAAGAAAGGGTTTCTCTGTGTGGTTGTCCTGGAACTCACTCTGTAGACCAGGCTGGCCTACCTCTGCCTCCAGACTTCTGGGATTAAAGGTGTGAGTCACCACGCCTGGCCTGCCTCCACTTGACTTCTTGTTCCCTACTGTCTGCAAGCCCAGTCTCTGCCCCACTACTCCCCATTTGTCACACAGCATTCCCTGTGCCATACAATAGAGAGTGGAGATATAGACACTACTTGGAACTCAACTGATCTGCCTTTGGATCCAGTTCTGTTACACACTACCTGTGTCATGGCGGCTTGATTTAAAACTGCCAAAAGAGGAAACGCTCTTCTAAAGATTACTGTAAAAAGAAACGCCATTACCACATGATTCGCAAGCCACAGGCCAAATGTTAGCTCATTTCCACGCTTCTTGTTCTATGTTAGAGAACCTAGGCTCCACTAAGAAAGCTACCATTTATTTGACATGTGACCCTAAAAGCATGACTCACAACCCAGTCTCTACATCCTTCAAATTGGGAACTGAAATCAATAGTGAGAGAGTGTCTGCATTCGCCTGAAGAAATAATCACATAAAACAAACCCTGAAGACTCAATTTTGCATCCTGATGGAGGCAAATATGAGGGAGGCAAGGTTTCATCCATTGTTAATAACACCATTAGAAACGAAGTAGGGGGAAAATGACAGCAGCCTCAGCCGCTAAGCCGTTGGCTGGCTTTCCCTTCTTGGTAGTGGGCTGTGGTTCAACGGTGTATTGAGAAAGGCAACCGGTCCTCGGAAGGGCCTTGAACGGGGAAGGATCGATCCCGCAGATGGGAGGACAGGGTCCCATCCGGCGACGCGCCTTCCCCCAAAAGGCTGATGCTGGTTCCGGAGCCCCCCGGGTGGCCTTGCCCGGCACCGGAGACCACCAGGCCGCGTCTCCCAGGCTAGATCACAGATAGGAGCCCCGAGGAGGGCCGCCTAGCCCAGGCCGCCCCCACTGCGGCCCCCGCCCGCAGCCGCGCCCGCCCAGGGTCCCCGCGCTCCGCGGCCTCCCGCAGTGCACCCCGGCTGCTCACCCGTCACCAGCAAGGACAGGAGAGCGACGATGAGCACAGCCATGATGCCACCGCGGCTGCAGCGGAGATGGGCTACACGAAAAGGGACGTTAGGACTCCAGGGAGCACCGCAGCCCCACCGGGTGACGCGCTCCCGAAGGTTGCGAGTCCTACGCCCCACCCCTTTAGCCGCCCCAAGACTAGGTCTCGGCCAATCGCCAACTACGCAGCTATACGGGAGAGACGTAGCTGGGGAAACGTCAGCGATTGGGGCAGGACCGAATGTGATGGATGGAATTCTCTGCCAATAGGAGTCAAGAATTTTAATAGCAGGGTGGTCCTGCCCGCCGGCACACAATGACCGGTCACGAGATGAAGGGTAGGGCCGGCGGTGAGAGCAGGTGGCCCCGCGAGTTGCAGGGTCTCAAGAAGCCACTGTGAAGCTACCCCCCAGGTGCAGACCCTTTGCCCAGCCTCGGGTGACAATCTTCAACCCAGGTGTCTGTCTTTCCCGGTCTTGTGCCTCCTCCCGCTGCGAATGACAGCTGTGGGAAGCCCTGGGCCAGCTTAGGCTTTCCTCCACCGAGTCCACAGACCTTGAGCACCTGAGGGCAGGAAGCCTGGCGCCTGGGGGAAGCCCAGCCCGCCCAATAAAGGTGCTGCTCAAAATATAGGACTCCTGCTGGAATTTGAGTTGTACATAAAAAATAATTGTTTAGTGTATCTGGAATATTTGCTTTATATATACCAAAATAAGTATCCATTGTCTGAAAGTCAACTAACTGGGTATTCCGTTTCGATTTTTTATTGTTGATTCTTTTGAGACAGGGTTTCTCTAAGTTGCCATGGCTGTCCTGGAATTCTCTCGGTAGGTAGGTCAGGCTTGCTGTGTCAAACAACCTTGCCTCCAAACTGCCATCTACAAGGAGTGATCCGACAGATAATCAATTACTTCATTCTTTCCTCCCCTGATTTTTTTTTTTTTTTTTTTTTTGGTTTTTCGAGACAGGGTTTCTCTGTGGTTTTGGAGCCTGTCCTGGAACTGTCCACCATCTGTGGTTAGAAAACAATGCCCAGATGATGACCTTGAAAGATAAATATGATTTTAATATGTAGGTGCAGGGTGTGAGAAGATTCATGTAGTATATATGGAAGGGAGAAGGCCTCTTTTTTGGTTGTTTTGTTTTGTTTTGTTTTGTTTTTTGAGTCAGGGTTACTCTGTGAAACTGGTCTGGCTGTCCTGGAACTTGCTTTGTAGACGAGGAGGTTGGCCTCGAACTAACTGAGATCCGCCTGCCTCTGTCTCCCAAGTGCTGGGATTAAAGGCCTGCACCACCACTGCCCAGCATCTAGTTGAACTTTTAACTGTTTAGTTTGACAAAAGAGATGGATAGGACATAGCTAAAAATTTAGGTTAAAAAATTAGTTTCTTTTTTTTCTTTCTTTCAGTTCTGGGGATGGAACCCCAGAGCTTTGCACAATCTAGGCAAGTGTTCTACCACTGAGCTATGCCTCAGCTTGTAAAAGCTCCAGTTCATTCAGATCACACGTGGAGCACGCCTCTAAAGCAGAGGGGAACAGCTCGCTGGTTCTCAGTTACAGAATGATTTTCTTCCTGGACTTGACTGAAGGAGAACAAGAACAGCTGCAACACTCCCAGGAGTTTTCCAGGTACAGCTTAGCCAACCTAGGGACTGGAATCAAAAGTACGCTCCACAAATCCTCAGAATGCAGTTTCTAGAAAGCACTATGTTTACCAAAGCCATTGTCAATTTCTAATGCGGTCTGGATTTTCTCACTTAACCTCAGGAAACTTTTTTTTTATTTAATTTATTTATTTATTAACCTCAGGAAACTCTTAACTCTCAATTTTGTGTTTTTGTCCGAGAGAGAATTTGCACATATGTGACTTTAAGGAAATCTGAGGGGTGGGCGGTGTTTTTCTATTAGGAATGTAAAATTATCATATTGGAACCAAAATGTTTAAAACAGCTAATTTTGCCAACGTAAACTGTGTCATGACCACCCTGAATATTTTTTTAATAGTTTAAAAATCATTTTTCAGCCAAACAGTGGTGGCACATGCCTTTAATCCCAGCACTTGGGAGGCAGAGGCAGGCCAATATATGAGTTCAAGGCAGTCTTGTCTACAGAGTGAGTTCCAGGATGGTCAGGGCTACACAGAGAAACCTTGTCTCAAACCTGCCCCCAAAAGACCAAAAACCAATTTTTTTTTTTCAAGGGCCAGGGAGATGGCTTAACTGGTGAAGGCACTGGCTGTGCAAGCCCGAAAATGTTAAGTTCAAGCCCGAACCAATCTGGATGTGGTGGTGTGCATGCCAGCACTCCTGTATAAAAACAGGAAGCAGAGATGGGAGATTTATCCAGAAGTTCCAGGCCCAGCTAGACTGGAGTACACAGCATAGCATCAGAAACAAGAGAGACTGTGCCCCAACAAGGCGGAGACTAGAACCAACACCTGAAGGTTGTCTTCTACAAACACACAACACAAAATAAATAGATAAATAATGTAGTATAAAGAGAGGCCGCTTGCTTGTTCCCAGTCGGCTCAGACCCGAAGCAATCACACAGAAACCATATTATTTAAATCACTGCTTGGCCCATTAGCTCTAGCTTCTTATTGGCTAACTCTTACATATTAATTTAACCCATTTCTATTAATCTGTGTATCACCACGTGCCTGTGGCTTACCAGCTAAAGTTCTGGCATCTGGTCTCCGGTAGGGATACATGGCTTCTCTCTAACTCTGCCCCTTTCTCCCAGCATTCAGTTTAGTCTCCCCCATTCCCACCTACTTAAGTTCTGCCCTATCAACAGGCCAAGCCAGTTTCTTTATTCATTAATGGTTATCACAGCATATAGAGGGGAATCCCACATCAAAATAAAAAACAATTTAACATAAAATCACTTCTGTGTGTGGCAACTAAAGTTCCATTCTTTGTCTGCCTCATGGCATGTTGGAGAAAAGGTTTGAGCAGGTGGCCCTTCAAGAATGTATCTAAATGGGCTGGAGAGATGGCTCAGCAGTTAAGAGCACTGACTGCTCTTCCAGAGGACCCGGGTTCAATTCCCAGCACCCACATGGCAGCTCACAACTGTCTGAAAATGCAGTTCCATGAGATCTGACACCTTCACACCAATGAACATAAAGTTAAATAAATCATTTTAAAAAAAGAATGTATCTAAATGAATCTTTTTAGGAATATAATGAGGTAAGATGTAACAAAGCTTCCAGGATTTCAACTTAAAGAAACATACAACCTTTTCTGTTCTTAAAAGAATTCTAGTGGTGGCTGACACCTTTAATCCCAGTACTTGGGAGGCAGAGGCCGGTGGAAAGTGGACCTCTGTGAGTTCGAGACCAGCCTGGTCTACGTTCCAAGACAGGCTCCAAAGCTACAGAGAAACCACGCCTTGAAAAACAAAACAAAACAAACAAACAAAAAAGAATTGTAGGTCATTCTGATTTATTTTGATTGGAAAATAGCAAAAATTCTATTAAGCAGATTAGAATATATAATAGCAAGCACAAGTCAATTTCACTCTTTCATTCTCTGTCTTGAGAAATGCCTTTTTTTGAGACAGGATTTCTCTATGTAGCTCTGGCTGTCCTGGAACTCACTCTGTAGACCAGGTTGGCCTCTAACTCACCGAGATCTGTCTGCCTCTCCCTCCCTGAGTGCTGGGATTTAAGGCCTGGCCACCACTACCTCGCCTCCTTTTATTTTTGTTTTAAACTTGTTTTTTTTTTCACTTTTGAAAACATGTTTATTGCCATTTTTTGCAAATGTATGAATCTTATCTGCACATATACAAGATATGGAATAGTAGATATTTATGAGCCTCTCAACTTGAGTGTTGGTATTTTGAAATAAAAATATATGAAGAACCACCTACAAAGACATTTTAGCCAATAAACAAAAATCTTTCAAAGATTAAAAGCAACAAGAAAAACAAAAGTCAACAAAGAAGCAAATAATTAATTCTAGGGAAGATTATGCTGTGTATAGTAAATTGGCAGCATAAAAGGAATACAATTCAATAACAATTTCCAAAAATTTAAAACAGAAAAGATTAAAAAGCTACATTCATAGTGGAAATAATCAGAGTGATCAATGAGGTTATGAAAAAACAATTATGGAAAATAATTTAATATCTGCTTCATGTCACAAGGATTATATCACAAGATACGGATTCTGGACTATCTACCTGCACAATAACATGAACACCTGAGAAACTTTGGTAGTTCCTTTTGTCCCCTAGAACTAAACATCACTGAATCATTTCATTGTGGTTGGTGAGAGCAGAAAGTTAGAAGCATTCTAATCATGTATCGCCAAAAGACAATCGACATCACCATAGTTCTAACACCTTTTAAACTACTTGAGACATTTATCAGACAAACTTTAAAGTGGAATGCAATATTCAGAAATTCTAGAAAAAATCAGTTTTCCAATCTATCTTCCCAGTGTACCCCAAAAGGACGACCATGTGTGTAGACTGTAAAATGATATTATAAGCATAATATATTCTACCATACTAGAGCTGCAGGGTCTCCCTATTCCAAGGAAATCCATACTCATGGAGGCTCAGAGGACCAAGACCACTGGCCAGGTAAATACACAGAACAACTTGTAAGTCTTTAAACTTGTAAGTCTTTTACATCAAAGACCTCTTTTGAACAGAGGCATTAAAGAGGCTTTAGAATTCAGCAAGATAAACACTGTATTAGAAAGCCTTCTGTCTGTGGCACAGAGGAGGTGCTGAAACCTGGAGGAGAGTAAAAGTCGCCAAGGTCACATAATGACTCACCAGCAGTTCTGCTTTCTGAATGCAACACCCTGGTTCAATCTTTAGTGCTGTTTAGTAATCTTTAATAAAGAACTGGTCATGTGCATGGAAATATTTAGAGGTGGAAATGTGACAGGACAATATGTGCAGTGATGATCAAAGTAGTATCTTACAAGAAACCCCCCCCCCAAAAAAAAAGAAACAAAATAATTTAAAAGAGATTTCACTGGCTTTTGGATCTGGAAAACATGGAACGTGGTATCAGCTGATTCTTCCTCCATGGTTCCTTGGATTTATCAGGTTTTTAATCTCAAATTGTAACCAATCTCCCTCAACAATGCAAAACATCCGTAATCCACCAAAT